AGGTTTGTGCATAGCTGAAAAAATTGAATCTGCAAGGGAACTCTTTTGTGGTTTATCATCAAGAGGGCTTCAACCGGATGTAAGGACATATACCATAATGATTAATGGACTCTGTATTGGGGGCCGAACAAGTGAAGCAGAAAAGCTGCTTACTGAAATGGAAGAGAAAGGTTGTCCTCCAAATGATTGTACGTATAACGTAATTATTCGAGGGTTTATCAATAACAATGAGACAGTAAGGGTGAGAGGACTTATTCAACAAATGGTGGAGAAGGGTTTCTCGGCAGATGCATGGACTACAGAATTGATAGTTGATCTATTGGGTAAAGATAAAGTAGATCCTGCATTGTTGCCATTGATGCAAATAAAGAATTATGAGCTGAATTTGCCTCAGTTAAAGTTGAACAGATCTTCTGACCATCCCAATAAACATTGAAGCTCTTCCACCTCTGGCAACCATGGATGTGTTATATCTGTTATCTCTTAATCCATCATGTGACAATGTCGAGTAGTAGATATAACTTTTCCGATAATCGTAACATCTTTGAAACAATTGGCTTTTTTTTTTTTTTTTTTTGTACGCGGTCTTTTTTAGTTTCTTTCACACAAACATTGTGCAATTGACTGACTCTGCATGTTTTTGTTATTTTGCGGTATACAGACTTGGTTATATAAAGACATCATTGGGGGATATCCTGTGATCATGATAGAGAAATTTCAATGTTACGCTTTTAAGACTGTTAAACTTATTAGAGAGAAGCAGGGTATTTGGACTGATATAATCAGATTTTTCAGCTGACCAAGACTTTGCAGTTTCTGCAAAAACCAACCAGCCTTTGATTAAGGGGCCTTCTACAACTTCTTGCAATTTATTTGATTTGTAATAATTTTGTGATGGACATGATGAGAGCAACGTTCAGAAATTCTAGCATCGTGCTTGCAGCTTGTGAAATGCAAATTTATTTGATAGTTCTTGTGGATCATGGGGGGAAAACATATTTAAGAAATATCAAACACAACTAATCATGAATACAATTTTGGCTCAATAACTTGAGCAACTCAATACTGTAGTGGCCTTTCTTCAACCTGTTGATTTCTTATTTGCTCAGGTGTTCCTTGCTCCGGTGTTCCTCGGTCTTCATCATTGCCTGCCTGCAAACTGATTCATCATAACTTCTCCAAATTTACCCAACATCTGTGGGTTCATTGGTGCTCCTTGTGGTGGTAGGCCATTAGGCATATTGGCCCCACCGTTTTGTCCTAAGATGCACAAAAATATGTGTCACAATACCAAACATTACTGAGAAAAATGTGGACGGAAACTAAACTGTAACGTGATAAGTTGAATGACATGCGCGGTCTAGTTAAAAATAACGTGTTACAAAAGCTATGCAAATACACATGCAATTTAATAGAGATTATAGGTTGTGTGCTGACCTGCATTGGTTGCTGCTGTGGCAGCTGCTCTTCTCCTTTTACTTTGGCTCATAGCACAGACAAAGATCACCACAATAACCCAGAAAACAAAGAAAACCGGAATTGCAATTCCAAGAATTAACCGAGTCTCCCTTTCATCTCTCCCTCTGCAACTCAAGGCCCTCTTTTCTTTCGCATCTCTCCCTCTATTTCTCTCTCTTCTAACCGAGTCTCCCTTTCATCTCTCCCTCTCTTCCCCTGGAACTCAAATCCCCTTTCTTTCTCTCTCTTCTCAGCTAGTCTCCCTTTCAGCTCTTCCTTTCTTCCCCTGGAGCTCAAATCCCTTTTTCTTTTCATCTCTTCCTCTCTTCCCCTCGAACTCAAATCCCCTTTCTTTCTCTCTCCTCTCACTGATGCTCTCTCTCTTTTTGCGTCGTCAATATTGGAGCCACACCTCAAATATTTATTTCGTTTCATGTGTAATGCTATTTTCTTTGAAGAGGGTTAAAAATTCTCCTTTTCTTCATTTTTAGTATTGCGTTATGATTGGTTAAATTATTCTTTGAATTTCTTCTGTGATATATGGTTTAATCGTTGGTGATCCTTAGCGGTGAACATGGAGTTAATTTCAACCTTCAGATTCTAACAATCGTAGCCCCCAAAAAAGCCCCAAAAGCACACCAAGTATTAACCTACTGCATGCAATTTAGCCACAAAGCCAAGCCTCCTGCTCTAATCCTTCTGCCTGGCCTATTAGTCGAACCATCAAGCCTGAATCTAAACAGGGCTTCTGGGAACCAACAACATGAGCAGTAGAACTCATTTGATAACACTTTCAGCCAAATGTTTTGGTCTCATTTTGAATTGATTAATCATCTTTGCACCAAAATGAGAAGTTCGAGCTTTATTCATTGACCTTTAGATTATCTAAACTTTTATCTTAATTGTACTAATATATGCAATTTGAAATGATTTTAGATGACCTATCAGTTGTTAAGGATTAATGTCAAAAGGAAACTACATTTTGTTTACAATGGAAAGTTCTCACATTAGGATATCCGGCAAGGTTAGCAAATAGAAGCAAAAAATACAAATATTGAGAAAATCTAATTGAAGACTAAAAGAGAAAAACATTACACCAAAATAATTGCGAAATCTAATTTAGGAGAAACAATATTTGATTCCACATCCGTCGAACTAAAACAGACGAGGGCAAAAATGGAGCAAAATCACTTGTAACACACATCAAACAACTTTGAGTTTTGGTCTTGGGGGTTTTTGGTCTATACAGGACGCTACATCTTTCGAAACTCTCAGCATTTAAAACTTTGGCTTCCTCAGCTTCTCCAAACTTGAATAGATTAATCCTAACAGAGAATACAATACTGCTTTTATGCAATCCATTATGAAATTCCAACAAGAAGAGAGCCAGTACCATGGTCGGAAGAACAGGCTTATAAGATGCCACGGATATCTCCCAACCTGCACCACAAATAAAAGTTATGTTCCCACACTTGCTAAACAAAAGGCGTAACCCTATATTCCATCTGAAGCCATGATAACCAAGGATTCTCTAAAAGCATCATGTAAGGTCCTATACTTTTGTTCTATCTCTAGGTTTAGAACTTAGTGTCATAAAATTATCTCATGATTTTACCGAAAAGGTTTAGATCTATTATCATGGATCTTTCAGGTCATCAATAAAGGTCTCAACTTTGCTCACATTCAACAACAGATGGGCGGATTGGCGATAACATACTAGGTTTAGATACTTGAAAAGGAAAACAGCACGTATATAGTGTGTTGGAACTTAGCATAAGCTTATCTAGGATGAACAGCACGTTATAGTGTGTTAGAACTTGGTAAAGCAAAATACTTGAGCTTAATGCCAAAGCAGACAAACAAAAAACTAAGACTTAAAAATGCAGCAAGATATCCAGTTTTAACAGAAAACTGTGATTGAGAAAAATATACTCACTGGAAAAAGCAAATCTAATGCATCCCAGGCAGCATGACGAACAGCTCTTGTGGGGTACATTGGACCACCAGGAGAAGTGAAACTATACAAACAAGCCTTTAACCTTGTACTTGTGGCCATTCTCAGATCCATTCCTGTTAAATTAATAATACATTAACTAGAATATATAGTGACCATAATACCAGGTTCACATGATGCCTTAAATCTTAAACCTAAAAATTGGTTAGAAAATTACCCTGGAGAAGTTTTATGTGCTGTGTGCAGCAATACTGGTTCCACCTTCAGTTTTTGAAGCTGACCAGTAAAGAAAAATATCGACCTCATTCAGTGCAGTGTAAGAACAAAAACTCAACAAAAGTACTTGCAGCACAGAGTGTTTCAAAATTTACCTGATCTGCAAGTTCAATAACAAAGAAGTCTTCTGCACCACCAACCAGAAAAGAATTTGGAAAAAGAGGAAATTGCCTTAAGAAGCTCCCGAAAAGGATGTCAGGATTTTACCAAGTTCTATGGCTATTCTGTGTCTTGACAAAAGCAGGATACTTATAACTGCAAAGAAAAAGAAAATTCAATAAAGACAGAACCCATGAAGAGTCGTTGCACATCGGATCTGAAGTAGCTTGGCCAGTGCTCATTCGAATAACAATCTTCTCGTGCTTCATCTTCTTCCAGCCATCCACTCTGTCTTTCCGAGCTACATTACCTACCCCAGGAGAACCAAACTCTTTCTCTCACAGGATGCACAACCATATATTAGCTGCAACAAGAATATAATCCAGGACCTTGAAACAATATTGGCAGGAACACACAAAAAGAAACGGAGAACATGTGATGCATAAGGAAGAGAAGAGGCAAGCTCCAACGCGAGCTCCAAGAGCTGTCGTACAATGATGGATCCAGGATTTGAAAGCCGGCCAGACGAAACTTACATTAAAAACTCTGAATTTCATTAATAAACAGAGAAAAATACGCCTAGTCAATTGACATAATGAGCATTACCTCAAATGCATCTTTATACATAAATTAAAGCTTATAACAAAAAAACAAGAAGAAGTAAATGCAATGCAACACAAAAATAATAGAACAAGCTCACCCACAAATATTAATATATTATCAACAAATAATCAATGTCTTCTCCTATCTTCTTCGGGGAGAGACCCAGAAGACCGATCTTGGGTCGAACGTTGGAGGCATGGCTTCTTTGATGGCGCTCTGGGTTTCGAGGGGTTAGGGTTTTGGAGGGAGTCCATGACCCCTGACCCAACGGACTAAGGGACATGGAAAGGGACGTGGAAGCTCCGTGCCCAGCAGATTGAGGTCTTTCCCAATTTCTCATTTCATCAATCTCCCAAAACTTAAAAATCAATTCACCAACCAAAACCTGAAATCCCAATTTCTCATTGTTTAAGCAGCTGGACCATGACGATATATTGGCTGGTGACAGTGCTCTGGATTTGATGGACAAGGCTGTGGGGAGTAGGAGGGGTGGTGCGCAGTGGGATATTGTTTTTTTCAATTTTAAGATTTTTTTTTTCAATTTTAAGATTTTTTTTTTTTTGTCTTTAATATGTATTTTTCTATTGAATAATTTTTTAAAATAATTTGTGGACCAAATTGCCCCTCCAAAACTAATAGAAGTTAAAAAAAATTGATGGAAATTGAGGATTGTCTTTGAATTGCTTCAAATTGAAACCACGGGGACGAAATTGATCAAATTAAAACGGCAAAGACCAATGTGATAAAAGTGACAAACTACAGGAACCAAAAGGGACTTTTTGCCTATATTAATTGGCAATTGGCAAATTCCGTGAAAATAGCTTTCCAAAGGAGGCAATTTTACAAAGGAAGAGGAGTGTCAACATTGGGCTGCAACACTGACTCTATTAACAAGCATGAGCAATTTTTGGTATTCTTATAATTATATTCATAGAATTTCTATGCATTAGTAAAATAAGTGACCAATTATCCCAAAACTTCTTGATTCAAAGTCGAGTCTGTAAGAGATACTAGGTAATTACACTCTGCTCTAACTATAAGCTCAGTTCAAAAGAAACACTTCACTGGCATACCTTCAAGCACCGTCAACCATACTAAGACGAACAGTACATTAATGGTTGCCAAGGGTACAGCCATGTCAAAGTTCCAAATTAACTTCGCGATGTTTATTTTATCAATGGCAACAAAGCCGGATCTACATCATCTTTAGACAATAAATCAACAATTAATTCCATAGTTGATGCATCCGCAGAGAAACCCCTCTCCACCATTTGTTGAATAAAAACCATTGCCCTCGATGTCTCATTACTATTGATAATCCCTCGGATAATTGTATTATAGGTGCAATCATCTGGAGAACATCCATTCTCTTCCATTTCTCCAACCAACTTTTCCGCTTCACTAATTAGGCCTAAATTACAAAACCCACTGATCATTATATTATATGTCCTGACATTAGGTTGATGTCCTTTTGATGATAAACCATAGAAAATGTCCAGTGCAGATTCAATTTTTCCAGCTATGCACAAACCTTCAATAAGAATATTGTAAATCACAATATCAATATCCAACTTCTTTCCTTCCATCACTCTAAAAAGTTTCATCGCCATAGGAAGTTGTTGAGTTTTACAGAGGCCATCCAGTAAAACTGCATAAGTTTGAACATCAGGAAGATGGCCACAACCTTGCATTTGAGAGAACAACTTATATGCATCACGTATTCTCCCCACTTTGCAGAAACCATCCATAAGAGTGGTATAAGTGATGGTATGAAGAACCATTCCCTTACTAGACATTTCCCGAAAAAGCATCATGGCATCATCAATGTTTTTACACTTACAATATCCGTTTATCAATATGCTATAACTACGAACATTAGTCATGGACTCCTTGCAAAGCATTAGTTCAAAAACCTTTTTCGCCTTGTTCATTTCTCCTCGTAAACAGTAACCATCCATAAGTGAATTGTATGTAACCACATTAGGTTCAATATCTCTTTCAATCATCATTTCGACCACAGTTTACGCTTCCCCAACCATCCCCTCCATACGAAGTGTGTTTACAAAGACATTGAAGGTCTGCACATTTGGAAAGATATTTCTACTCACCATTTCATTCAACAACCTCGTAGCTTCTTTCCACTCTCCTAATTTGCAAACTCCATGAATCAAGGATGTATAGGTAATGACATTTGGGGCAATACCCTTGCTCATCATTTCAGAGAAGAGGTTCAGTGCATCAACAACTAGTGTATCCTTACAAAGACCGTCAATTATTGTGTTATAGGCAACTAGGTTAGGATTGCATGCTCCTTCCTCCATCCTTCTAAGCAACTGAATAGCTGCACTGTTGTTACCCATTCTACAGAAACCCTTTATTAGTGTGCCGAAAGTAACCACATCAGGCTTACAATTACCTGCCTTCATCATTTTGTTGAAAATTTCTGCAGCCTCAGCCACTCTATTCTCGGTAAGAGAGTCGTTGACTAGAGTGTTGAAGGTATAGACATTTGGTTCAAACCCAGATTTAAAGAGTTGTCCCAAGACAGAAAAACTAAACCCCATTTGGTTGAGATGACAAAAGCAATTAATGACAATAGTTAGAGTACAAACATTAGAACCAATTCCAAACAGACCCATTTGGTTGTAGAAAGAGATGACGACCAAATAATGTTTCAATTTCACAACTTGACCCAAGATTTGATTGAAACCGCCAACTGAAGGCAGAGGACGCATGTGAAGCATTTCATCGAACACATTGAAAGCATGCTCAAGATTTGTGACTGTGGTTGGGTCTCTCACACCAAACTGCTTTGGCTGGGTGTTTCTAGATTTATTTGGCTTCGAATTTGAGGGTTGAAAATGAAACAAGGCTGAGTAATCGTTGAAGAGAACAACAACAGTAGAGTGAAGAGAAGGCATACCTTTGCTGCCATTAGAAGATGCAGTTGCCGTCATCATCTTCAGCATCTCAGAGACTCAGCCGATACTCAAACTTGAATGAAAGTGAGAAGGAAGGAAGCTCTCAAACTTCGAACGGGTTTCCCTGAAAACGCTCAAGTCCCTCAACCATCACTTCCACGCTCTTTATTTCAGTTCTGAATCACGAAGGGAGGGGGATTCGAACTCGGGTGCTGAGGGGGAATATATCTGTTTTAACAAACTTGATTAAGTCTATGTCTGCATTTTTCATTTTGTTTTATGGCATACTAATCGCACTAAAATAAAAAAGAGTAAACTACAGTAAATCCTCCAAATTATAGGGTCATTTACGAGTCCATACTTAATTTTGGGGACATTTATGGGTACATACTCAACGTCGCAGAAAACCTACAGATTGCCCCTTCTGTTAGCCAAACTGTTAGTCAGTCTATTAAATACTGACGTGTCAAAAGTGGGATCCTTTTTTTGATGACGTGGACTTCCACATGGACTAAAAATTAATTAAAAAATTATTTTACTGTTTAAATTATTTTTAAAAATCTCTCTCTCTCTTAATTGCTCTGCAAATGACTTCTTCTTCTCTCCCCCTCCTTAATTGCTCTGCAAATGACTTCTTCTTCTTCATGAATGATGCAAGTTGGATCAACGCTTCTAGCTCACAATATAAACCTGTGTCTGGCCAGAAGAGCTAGCTTCAGAAACTACACATCTCCATTGAACCCATTAACAAGAACGCCTTCTTCTTGCTCTTACTCTGCTGCAGCCTCTGTTTCTTCACAGACCATTTCTCGCAAAGCCGTTTCTACCTCAACCAAGGCGACCCGGCTCCACCTCGCCAACCTCAACAAGCTCCTCCAGACCCAACCCCCACCCAAAACCCAGCTCGACCCACAACCCGATCTTGAGAACTACAAGGATCAGAATACTAGGTTCGTGGAAAATAGGGGAAATGGGCTCGAAGGACTCAATTTGGCCAGGTTGTGGCTACAAGTGAAGGCAGCTGAAGAAATGTCGCCAAGGCACCTCAACCGCCCCAAAACTAAGTAGCCCCCGACAGCCCAGCTCACCCACCATGCTAACCCCCATCCTCCTCATATGTCAATCCGGCCACCCCAACCGATCCATCTCTCTTGCTTGACAAATCAAATTCCTCAAAGCACAACAAATTCATTTTCTCAACTCTCGCAGATCTCCTTCAGTTCCATACATGACAAGAAAAAATGGAAATAAAAAAAAAGGAACTGATCTATCTTCATTCTTTGGGCACACAAGATCAATCAGAGAAGGGGTGTTGTTTTACAAAAGATTAGTAAAATAAATAATAATATAAAAAAACTCAGTCCAGCCCCCTTTTCTCCTATTTCCCTTCCTCCAAAAACTAAAATGCACATCCCCACCCCTTCCGCCACCACCTCCCCATTTCATACTGTAGATCACCACTCATATCCCCTAACCACCTCATCTCCCAAATCCCAGATCCAAACTCTCTCTCTCTCTCTCTCTCTCTCTCTCTCTCTCTCTCTCTCTCCAGCTACAGTCCCAATCTTTATATCCTAGCTTTACAACCCACACCAGATTCGAGCCCCACCTCCGTCAGTCTCCCCCAATGCCTTATCTATCTCTCTTTGCAACCCCCACGACCACACATTCTGAGATGATGAAGACAACGGCTACGAAGATGATGGTGACAACGACGAGGAAAATGATACCAGTTTTGCTGGTTTCCTATTTCCCAATACAATCACAGACAAATCTGGGATTGGTTGTTAATCACATACATGAATTTTTAGAATAATTGTGGTTAATTAAATCTGGGTGGGGGAAGAAATCTAGGCTTGAAGAAATTTGGGGGAAAGAAATTGGGAGGAAGGGAGAAGAAATCAGGAGAGAGAATCTAGGTAGGTTTTTTATTTTTATTTTTTATTTTTTAATTTAATATGTTTAATTTATTACAATAATTTAAAATTTAATTTTTTTATTAATTTTTTGTCCATCTGTAAGTCCACCTAATTAAAAAAATAGAACTCACATTTGCCACGTAGGCAGATAACGGATTTCCTGACGGATTCGCTA